GGCGGGCCGCCGCCGCCGCATCAGCTGTGCGGCATCACCCTGGACTCGCGCATCGTGACGTTCCGCTGCTCCTCTCAGTCGTCCAGTATCACCAGCACCGCCGACGGCGGGCATGGAACGGCGGCCGGGGTGGCGGGGGGGGGCGGCGAGACGGCGGCGAGATCGTCGCCGTCGCCGGTCCCCACCTCGCCGTCCCCGGTAGCGCCCGCCGATGGCAGCAACCTCGGTGGTGGTAACCCTAGAGACCGAAGCGGTAACGGAGGTACCTGCGGCGTTGGCGAAGGCGATCGGGGCAGCCCTGCCGGAAGGGGACCGGAGGAGGGCGGAGACGGCGGTGCTGACGGTGGGCATGGCGGAGAGGGGAGTGTTGTTGGAACCGGGGAGGCGGGGGGCGCCCAGGCTAAGAGCGGCACCGCCGCCACCAGCTGAAGCAGAACGGGGGGGGGCAACGTAGGATAAGAGCAGCACCAGTGGCAGCAGCAGCAGCAGCATGGGGTGGTGGCAACAGACCGCCGTTGTACAAAGATTTACGAGAGCCGTGTCGCGAGTGACGATGCTTAGTGTTTGGTTCTTTTGTGACCTATCTGTGGTATTGTAGCGTTGAAGAGGGCTCTTTTCGGGAAGTTCCTCGTTGTAGACAAACCGCGCCGTGCTAAGTATTTAAAGTCGATGGGCGTGTTATTAGCCTATATTTAGAGTAAAGTATTATGAAGCGTAGAGGGCAAAGTATCTCAGGGCTGGTATGGGGGGGGGCTCTTCTTCTTGACCACTTGCGGCTCGCACCCTCGCATATGGCTTCGGGTTTTCGCCGACCGGTACGTATTTTGCACGCCGCGTCACAGATGGTGTCTGGAGTGTCGTAGGTAGGTGAGGATGACCCTCTCTTCGAGAAATTACCTGCAGTCTGCGTAAGCCCTTCCCAACCTTGCCGTGTGAAATACTCTTTGTCGTGGTAAACTAAACAGTTATTTTGGCAAGAATGATATGGGATTGTAGCAGCACCCACTTCCGCGACTCTCAACCAGTATTACGTACTGGTACGCGCCAAAATTAATAGAATAACAAAGGTCCACGAACAACGAAAAGACAGGATTGGGAGTTGATTCGAGTTCATAGTTTTAATCAAGCAAGTTTGTTTTTGCGAGAAAAGTCAGAATATTATTACAACTGTGGGTGAGTGTTTTCACCTTGGCCCTACGAGAGTTCAACACCTTTTTTTTGTTCTGGAACGCTGCATGAGCTGACGACCACACGCTTCACCGACATGGAAGAAGCAAGGCTTCGAGGAACACGCATAATTAATGTAGTCAAGCCTCTCCGACGAGGACAGCCTCCAGTTTAGTCTATAGTTCCAAGCGTAGAAATTGACGCGAGTGTCAAGAAGTGGAGGTCTTCTCTACTCGTTGTATCTACAGAGGTAAGCGTCATGCCTGATCTATATAAGCAACAAAACAACGCTGCCAACATTTGCGTACAATCCGAGCATCTACACCTTGAACCCACGCTTGCAGTTTGGTCGTCCTCTTGTCCTATTTGGTCGGTACTGAAATATTCATCCCTGCCTGGGATCTGCAGTACATGGACTATACTTCGAAGTATTGGACTACTGCTGTAGCCTGAGAAACAAACATGATCTTGTATTATTCCTGGATTTTTCGCTGCGGAGCTAGTGCTGGCTCATCATTCCCATTACTGTGTGCATATCATCCTCAGAAACGGCAGTTTCAACGGCCATAGATCGAGATCGGACAGCTACGATGAGATGGGGATGGATGATGTTGTGGTGGGTAGATGTGGTTGTTGGCTGCCAGGCAATCCATACGATAATACTCGGGCAAGAGGTCCGAAGATCTGGTTGGCGTCGGCCGCAGGACAGCATTTGCTTTTTGGGGGATCTGCCTTGGATCTTTGGATCTCACACGATCTCACACGATCTCACGATCTCGCGATCTGAGATCTGACGTACATCGTGCCGCATAAAATATGCGGCGGAATTACTGCTCCTGCGGGCTGCCGACTGCACAGCACACACAGGTCACCTAGCTAGCCCACACGCCAAAGAAGACGCACAGCTCCCGCCGTGCAGACGAGAGATCGACGCCCCCATGCTTCATGTTGTCCTCTTCCGGCCTCTTATCCCTGCTAATACTGGGAACATTGGACGCACTTGCCTGGGTTTCGGAGCAAGGCTACACCTGATCAAGTAGGTTGTGCCGCACCGCAGCAAGCAGTAGCAGCGACCCAAGCGACCCGTAGTCATGCGTTCTTCGCTGGTCGATGGTGGTTGTGGTTGTGAGTAGCATAACCAGCCTTCGGAGAGAGGTATGGAGTAACAGCAGAGGTAGTCCTGCAGCGCGTCTTTTAACTTCCACTTGCCCAGCTACGGTATAGTTGTATGTAGTGTGTTGCAGAAAGAGACCCACTGCTGTTGTCACCGCAGGCAAACACTCACCGTTGATTTCCTTGAGCCACCTGGTGGGATGCTTTCGATGCTTCGTACACGCAGTCTGCAGGTGCATATCTTGCTGGTGGTACATTATCAAAGGCTGTTATTCCGCGTGCACTTCAATAAGACCTGTTAAATCACGCACGTCTTGTGCCTCACGGATACACAGTAGTGGCTGGGACCTTTCTTTGTCATGTTGTCGGTGGTCTCGATGCATCCTGTGCGTTGTCTCTGCGGCGTTTGGCCCCTGTTGATCATGATCGCACCAACCCCATCCACCCTCCACCTCCGCCGCCCTCTCTCGCGTCCACAGCAGCGGTAGTTGTGACGCCGCCTTGGGGCTAAAGAGAACAGATGACAGAAAATCGCTTGTTGGCGTGCACACTACTTTGTTTGCGCGCGCGTACAGACCGCTCGGGTTCGATCTGTCCGAGCGAGAAGTTAAGAGGGCCGGGCTTGATCATTGGGAGCACGTGGACCTAGCCGTCCACAACACCTGGTGAGGGGTGGGTCGTCGTCAGAGTCGGAGCAGTCTGTGTGGCGTGCAATACATCGCGGGCACGTAGTTAAGCAGAAGCCATCGTCAGGCCGAGCCTCGATTTGTCATTCTTCACGTCAAACAAAACCTGTCTCAGCTGCCGCGACCCTTGTTGCTGCGCCACTCTCGCCTGTGGAGCGACCAGCACCTGCGGTCTCGGCTGAAAATATGTGGTGGTCCCCGTCTTTTGCCTTGCAGAGTACTCCCTAAATCATATTTTCAAGCCCTCGTTCCTGTGCTCTGTCGTATTGATGTTGTTTTTGTGCGGGACGTGTGGCTTCAAGCGTTCTTCCCGCGACCATTGTGCAGGTTGCGACCTCGTTCGCCTAACAATATTGTTTTGCCACTATTACCCGTCTGCCGAACCATGCCGTATGCTTTTATTGCGCTTCGTGACTCGGACACGCACCGCTAGTTCGTTCCGACCTCAGTTGATGCTGCAAGTGTAATGGCATGTTTGTTTCTGTCTTCACTCCCCACCCCTCGCCATGAAACGCGCGTGCATTACCTTCAGGACATGCTTCACTGAGAGCATGCTACCCGTGCTGGGTCACAACAACAGCGGCGGCGGCGGCGGCGGCAACATCTACCTGGTGTCGAAAAGGCTCAAGCTTGGGTCGACGCCCATAGCGGACGTCGATTTTTTTGCGCCAACGCCGAAACCTCCTCCGATCGTGGCCCAACCCGGGGGGGGCGCCGGGGAACTTTCGTCGGATACTGTTGGTAGCTCTGCGTGCAGCGAGGGCGACGTTGCCCTCGTGTTCGGCAACGAAGTGGACGGGTTGTCGGGGCTGGAAGAAGGGGAAAGGGGCCGCGCCCTACCGGCCGTCTACCTGCCCATGCGTGACGACGTAATCCGATCGTACAACCTCTCCAACGCGGTAATTGTGTTTCGGCGCTTGGCTCTACTGTAGTGTGTGGTATTGTTGTTCCCTCTCGCGTGTTGTGGCAACATGTTGCGAGGTCGCGCGTTGTCGTTTAGTGGTTGCAGCAAAGCTTCGAACCACTGACCATGCGTCGAAGTTGAAACGAAGAACAGTCGAGAGAGAGAGAGAGAGAGAGAAAAGGTGTCCGCAGTTTTCTGATTGGCCAACTTATTAGAATGAAGTTTCCAATTTATTAGAATGAAGTTTACTTTCAATAAATTGGCCAATCAGAAAACTGCGGGCACCTTTACTTGTTCGTGTTTTTTTCCGCGCCATATGTCGTTCGTTCTTCGTGTTTGCCTCCGAAAACATCCTCGGGGGGAAAAATCGACACCTCGGCTCTCGAACGAGTGAACAAATGCTCTTTACTACACAGTCTGCCCTCTCTTTGACGCGCCGCGTTTTCCTCTCTGTATCTCCGTTTCAGTGTCGCTGTCTCTCCCCATCTGTCTCTCTATCTCTCGGCCTTCATCTCTGTTCGTTTGCCTCTGTCTCTCTCTCTCTGGCTGTCTCCAACCCTCTCTGTCGTAGCCGAGTTCCCCTCCATCATTCCCATCGCCTTCCCTTTGCCGTTTGGCCTACATTCCCCCCTCTGTTCCTGCTGCTCCCCGCAGGTTCTCTCCCCCCAAAAGTACGAGCGAAATCTTCCCCTAAACCTACCTCTCCTCGTGCCCGCCCTCAGGTAGCGATGGCTGTTTACGAGGTAGAGCGGCAGAGGAGAGAGGCCCCGCGAATACGAGACATGGGGAGGGGGGGAGAACAAGGCAGGCCAACTTCGTCAACGGTGTAATTATAGTGCTTCTAGGTGGAGTGGCGGGAATTTCTGGAGAAGAGCCTATTTGGTGGCAAGACGGCAGTCCGGTGTCGTCGATGAAGAGTAGCTGTTGCGACCCAACTAGGGCCGCCAGTGGACGTAGGCACCGGCAGCACCGGCAGGGCTCCAATAGATGACACCGGCGTGTCGGAAAATAATAGGCACTGCCAGGATCGAGTAGCAGTCAGTCACATGGGGAATACTCATGGGTAGCTTGCCTTGGCTTGTCTTGCGGGCCTGAGAAAGGTTTCGTGCCATTGTTCCTCGCCACACGTCAACGATGACCGGCAGAGCGTGGGTGCGAGGTAGAAGCGAGTTGTTCTCCGCCCCTGTTGCCGTTTCCGTTGTTCGCCGCCGGTTTAATCGATTTGCGGCACCACTAACGGCTGTCCTTATTTTCACCAAGTAGTAGCGCGGCGACGACCCCGTTGTTTGCGCGGCTGGCATGATTACCTCCTACCTCCCCCCCGCCCTCTCTCCCTACACTACCGTTGTGGCTCCGGTAAAGAGGAGGGTACCGTATAAGAGGGAGCTCCGACACAAGAGGGTCGAAACCGGTTGTCACGGACTCAATAGTAATGTTGGGCACCTTCTTCTTACGGTACAAGACGGGGCAACGATAGGAGAGGATCGAGGGCCTATGTCACACCACCCTCTTGCATCGGATGCACGACCGCTGTTTATGCACAGTGCCGGTCCTCTCGCAAGAATCCTTTGTGCAGCTTGCTGACTCCCTCTTGAATTGAGCATCGCACACAGGACAAGACAAACAATCGGTGACCCGCCGCTTAGCCTCGGTACTTCTGCTCAGCTTTTTAGCCTCTCTCTTCTCATCATCCTCGGTCTCGATTCGCGCTACTACTGCTGTCGTGAGGGAGGGCGGGTAGTTCTGACTATAGTCTCCCTGCCTCTCAATTGAAATGGTGCCAGAGTTTGTGCCAGGGTTGATGCAGTTGACGAGGGAAACGGTTGCGCATGGTGGCCCCGAAGGCTCTCGCTACCAAAAAATAAGACGAAGACGAGAAATTCATGAAACAATGTTGACTGTGTGGCCGCGGGTGTGGTACCAAGTACACAGCGCCCAAGAATGGATGGGGATGGAGAAGAGCACCATCGAGGCAAAGTGTCACGCCATGTAGACTCTGGATACAGAGATGCCAAGAGCATGTAACCGTGCGAATTCTCGCACACTAAGCTTGGACGGCGGGGAACTTTAACTTCTCTCGGGTCTGTGTTGTGCCTTGTATTTTCTTGGGGTATTTCATGGAAACTTTTTAATTACGCGTGAGTATCTTTTTAGAGGCCGTGTGTCATGTATGGAGAGTGGTATGTACCGTAGATACACCGAGCGCCTCATCCCGCTGAATAGCTTGCTGCACAAGGGCTGCCGCTATGCATTTGATAGACAGCGACAAACAAATCATGCATTCACTTGATGCAGCTGCATGCTGTCGGGGTAAAGCAACCCCAAGCATGAAAAGAGCAAACGGTGCCCGCAGTTTCTGATTTGTCCATTGTTTTAAAGCAATTTTCCGTGTACACCAATCACCACCAACGTCGAAATCAAGAGGAGTGACTTAGAGAGTCCGCGCCAACTCGGGCTTGTGAGCCTCGTGCTCGATGATTCATCAAGACAACGACCACCCCCGAAAAACAATCAAGGAAGTGTATTCGCCGAGATCGACAAAACCTTAAAAGGGTGTATACCGAGTGAGGAAAAAAACAAAAAAAAATACCGAGTCAGTCTCGGGCAGGGCCATAGAAAAACCCATCGGAGGATTTGAACACACACCGCCGCTACAATGCCTCCAGGAGGAAAGAAAACATCGACAAAATTAAGCACCTCACCCGCTGGGCACTAAGCTACAGCCATTGTATAAATATGGATCATCGCTACCTGCACACCCAACACACAAAAACTATATTTCCCTGTATCCCCCGCCATCCCCCCCCCCCCCCCCAACACTCGAGCAACACGAGGGAGGAAAAAAAATCGTGGAAAAAAAACACGCTCACGTCGCAACGACGCCACTATTTTGCAATGCCTAGCAAGACAATCAACCCACCAGGGGAGTGCAGGGGGTGAAGGAACCGAGGGAAAAAAAGGATATACAGATCATTTTCAAGGCGAGAAAGGGCCAAGTAAAAAAATCACCCAGAAAACACACACCTTAAATAAGGCAGTATATCGCGTCCAAGAGTCAAAATCTTCCTCTTGACTCGGCCTGACGCCATTTTGTAGCGTAAGTAAAGTACTGCAGTCGGTCAAACACTCAGTTTAATCCGCACTGCCTTCGAAGGGAAGGCGACGTCGGTGAAAGCGGCCTCTCACCCGTAGGGTGAAACGAAGCACTAAATAACTTGATCCACAAGCAGCAAACGCGAAGGGGTGTGCAAAGCATGATGCCTACGAATATGGGGGGAAGGGATCTATATCACAACATCGGAAGGCCAAAGGGTCGACACCGACCGGCAATCGCATGAAGCCATGCAACCTTTCAGTGTTCAAGTGCCTCAAAAACACACAAACAAAAAAAAGAGGTATCCATACATGTGCGCATAACACCCGTCCGAACTTCTGCCGGGGTTGGTTGCGGCCGTGTGGTGTTCGTATTGGTGGAAGCGTGTGGCTCTCTCTCGTCTCTTCCGTAGAAGAAGGTCCACCATGGCGGCACCACTAAAACCTACCGTAAGAGTGTCAAAACAACAACAACGAAAAAGACGATAAACGCCCCCCAACCCAGGCGAGAGTCAGCCAAGCACGCTCGAGAAGCAGCGCATCACACAAACGAACACGAAAACGTCGAAACTGTTCCCCACGGTACCGGCACCGCACCCCGAGCGCTATCCCTACAACTACCAAGTGCCTCCTACAGGCTGCTGCAGCTACACCTCTTGCAAAGTTCTGCCTATGTAGCTGCAGCTATAGTTACCTATTTATCCGCGGCATACCTCGTGCAAGGTCTGCCAATAGCTGCAGCAGCCCCCTCCCCCCCCCCGCCCCCGCCTTTCGTCACCTCCCGAAAAGCAGGCTCTTTTTTTTTCATCTTCTACCACAGGAAGGCGGCGGCCCCCGCGACGACCGCCAGGGCGAAGCCCGTCGGCAGGACCCTCGACCCCGGAGACTCAGCGTCCGCGGTGACGGACGTCCCGCAGTCGCCGAAGTCGACCAGGAGCTCGCAGTCGCCGCCCTGGAGCTCCAGGATGGCGTCCGGGTCATCGCACGTGCCCACGTCCGAGTAGTAGGACCCCACGTCGCTCGGCTCGGTGAACACGTTCCGCAGCAACAGCCTGGTTTGTGATTGGGGGGGGGGCGCACTCGTGATGTTTTGCATGGCTTAGTTGTTGGAGACCATTGACATCGCCATGCCGGGACTGATATGTCGGGGGGTTCGCAGGCCCAAGCTTGGGGGGGGGGGGGTACTCATGTTTAGAATGCCTTAGTTGTTGGAGACCATTTTTCACGCCACGCGTCCTCGAGAGGACGGAGCATTGTCACCACAGAACCGTTGAAACGATGGCGAATCATTCCTTCCGAGTTTGCCAAAGGTGGCTAAAAAATGTCTTGCGTATCCTGTCGAAATCACTTCCCGCCTCTTCAGCCCCACTTCCTATGAGCCGGGTTGATACGAAGCGGATCCCCGTACACCGGGGAAGAGCCACCCCCCAAGCTCATAAAAAAAAACACGGCACCCCGCCCGTCCGTGGGGGATGAAGCAGCATCTCTAGTAGGACTGCCTCCTGCCCCAACACATGGCAAATACGTACATACCTCGTGTGCAAACCTTTGTTAACGCGCCTACGGTTACCGCCTTTTGTGTGTGGTTCTTCCATTCTCGGTGCAGTGAGTGCAGTATTCGGTGTTCAACTACAAGGAAACGAGGACTACCCGCCCGCCAATCTGTAGAGTCGCTGTTCAGTCTTTTGGGGGCTGAAGTGATGGCCTTGGCACAACAAGCCGGCAGGTGCACCTCGGCAGCCTGAAAAAAAAAAAATGTTTTCACACGCACACAACTCCTTGTGTACAGAACGCGCCCGCAATTACGAACCTCTGTTTAGTTTCGGCCGAGGCTGGAGTCCTGCGGACATGCTACGAATGGTCGGTTTAAAGGTTTCTAGGGTAGGGGTTCTTCACCGAGCTCACAATGGTGCTCAAGTTCTTAAATTTCGTTTCCTGAGGCTCCAGTTTTTAGCTATTCTAGCTCCTGGGTTATTATTGTGCGGGCGCGTTCTGTACTACGCTTCCGGCCGGATCGCAATATAGGGAGACATGGAATCAACCGAACCCAAACAAGCACGAAACAAAAGCCGCGGAACAACCCGGCAAGCCGCAACACGGCGCAGAACTAGTGCACCGCCACACGCCTAACTTACCGCTCGTACTCTCCGATGCCAAAGTTGACGCCATCGCCGTGCAGCACGGACACCATGTCCTGCATCAGTACCTGAAGGGAAGGAAGGGGGAGGGCGATCGACGTGGTGGCCACAGACAAGGAAAACAATAACGAAGAAGACACTTAAAAGGCCTGAGTCGACCGAAAAGAGACAAAGAGAAAGCAAGAAAGCGTGCGACACACACACACGGCGAGAACAAAAACAAACGTTGCAACGCTACTATTAAGCCATTTGTCAAAAAATGCGATATCTTCCAGAGGTTCTGTTGTATTGCAAGTAGTGCACGGTACGTTTCGTCAGGTGTCGCCGCAAGCTGCCGTCCAAGTGTTCTAGTAGGACGATGGAGCAGGATGGGGAGGGAAACACGAAAGTGCCCCCAAGAACACGTCCGGGATGCTCCAACCGGAAGGGGTGCGAAGCCGGCTCACGTGAGCAACACGCCGGGCCAAGTCGATTTGTTGTCGACTACGTGAGCGACGAGAGTAGTCAGTTGGTCCTTCTCGTCCTCTCCCTACCCTACCCTCGTGCTCTTGTTGTTGGAGCATTCTTCCACGAAAACCCGCGTTCAAACCTTCGGCGAAACACGCGCCTGTGAAACACCGCCCGGGGCAGCCCTCTACCACCGCCGTACAAGAGACCGAACACCATCTGCGAAAGCTGTAGCCGCCGCAGCAGCAGCTATTACTCTGCTGCTGCTGCTACACATGTCAGTCTAGTCTACGGCGGTAGTGTAGCTCACGTGAGGCTCGACCCAGATGGCCTCGAACCACGCGTTGATGCCGGAGAGGGTGACGTCGTAGGCCGTCTGGTTCTGGATGCAGCGGAGCTGGCTCAGCACGTCGGCGTCGAAGAACAGCTCCACCTGCGGCGATTGGTCACCGATAAAACCGTACGGCAGGACGAACACGGAAACATGAGACTCGCGTGAGGACCCCACCATCCATCCGCCGTACCTACATCATGTGCGACAATGCTACTTCCAGACACGCTGCAGCCTGATTTACACGTCCACCGTCTCAGCAGCAGGGTATGTACCACCTCCTGAGCTGCAGGCAGCCACGGACGAAAAATCCACTGCTGTCGCAGTAGGCTTGTACTCTTCTTGCAACGCAAGCAAACACGAGCCGCTTCGCGGAACTTTCATGCGGTGTCTACGAGATAGGGTACTGTAGGAAAGGAGAACTGAGTGTGATGGGGGTGCGTGCGATAGACCACTTTTGGCCAGGCAGGCGCTTTCGAGCCGCCAAAGCGCGCCGCCGCCGCCGCCGCCTCCGAAGAAGACACCTTTCCCCCAACTACTAGTCGAACGCACGCTAACCACGGCCGTTACAAACGACAAATGGAGAAAGAAAAAAAGACACAAGCATAGGAGGAGCCCATTTCACTCCCAAAAGTGGTACAATAGATAACTCAGGTCCGTCACACTCTGAGTCTCACAGATGGCAACGATTCAAGAATTATCTGCACGCGCGTAAAAGCACGCAACATGTGTCTAGCCTCCAATGCGGGCGATCGCACGATTTCGCCTCACTGTAAGCAAAAGCACCAGAGGCTGGAATCTGACGATTGAGAGCACGAGTCCAGGCTTTTCGGTTCTTCACACAAAGCTCCCCGCGTGTGCTTCACAATGGTGCCCGTAGCCCGGGGTCGTTGCGGCGGGTAAACTACACACACACCACACGAAGCTGTAGTCAACCGCCCGCGAAACGGTTCAGTTTTGCCGCGTGGTTGCTATTTTCGTTTACGCCCCTGAAAGACAATTCTGATGACGTCGAAGGTTTGAATTCAATATTTTCAATCCTAAAATAAAGGAGTCAAGATAGTGTCAGGAAAGGGTACTTTCATGGAGGACTTCGTGATGTGTCGTCGTTACACACCTCGCCGTAGTCGGCGGCGAAGACGCAGATGTCGGCATCAGCGAAGCAGGCCAGCATCTCCTCATCCGTCATCAAGCCCTCGACCACCCCGCAATCCAACTGGTCACGAGATAGGCAGACATTACAGGCAGAAACAAAGGCAGACAGGCAGGCAGACAGGCAGACAGACAGACGGACAGACTAGCAGTCAGAAACAGTGGCGGAGGGGGGGAAAGGGTGGAAATAGATCAAAACAGCAAACCAACTCGTACGCATACTATCATGAAATACGCCATACGCGCGTCGATCGGACGGCACGTGTAACGCGGGCAGGAGCGAAAGAGAGAGGGGTATCGGTAAAAAAATGCCGGAAGGGGGATTTGCTGGAGAATGGATGCCGAAGGGATGCCTCTCGTTTTTTCGCCAACACACACCTGTGATACAGACGCATCTTTTTCTTCACGGTCTTGCAGATATTTGCCGTAGGTTACGGACCACCTCAAAACTTACCGACGACCGCCGCACCACCATACAAAAAACATGCGGGCACCGCGGGAATACGCTTGCCGGAGAAAAAAGAAAATCGCATGCGCTCTGCTCGCCATGCCGCCGCCCTTGAGCTCGTCCAACACAAACAACGCCTCTTCTCTGCAACACGACTCCCACACCCGACGCAAGATAGACGGAAGTGCACAAAGAACAACCGTGCCCCCCTCCCCCGTGCCTGTCGAAACTCCAACCTACATACACACTAAATAGAGGGTACCTTCCCGACCCCTCCCCCCCCCTTCGCCAAACGGACCGCCGTCACGAGGATTTTACCGTTGATGTATGGAACGGAACAGGGGGGTTTCGTATCCCTAGCCCTAATGTACTCAAACCTAGCCCTAACTCAATATCGTCGCGAAAGCTACTGTACTGTACTGCGCTAAACCCGGTTGGTTAGGTCCTGCATCTAAATGGCCAAAAACCGCCCGAACAACCCAACTCACCATAGTCCCTCCCGTATCGTTGACGGCCTGACCGTAGTAAGAGTCCAAGGTGGGCTCGCCCCAACCCGAGCCGGCCTCGTAGTACAGCGAGTCCTGGTCCGTCGGGAGGAAGGGGAACCAAGCCACGGTGGGTGACTCGTCCAGCTCGAGGCTGCACCCTTGAGCGTTGGTCTTCGTGCAGAACCACACCGTCTGCAGGGCCGCGTCACGTGTGGGGTGCGGGTCGGGCGCGAGAGAGAACTAAATGAACGCGTTATTGGGGAGTACCAGCATATGGTGTGTGTGGCGGGGGGACTCGTGTAATTTCAGGCCGTAGTCGTTGGGACATTGGCCTCGCATCCCTGCAATGGCGGGACATTGCGATATGCCGGGTTTTCGTCCCAGGCTATTTGTATATACGTCTCACAAGGATGAACCAGAGGATGGGGGGGTGGGGGGGTGGGCGGGGGGGGGTATTCCTATATTTTGCATGCCTTAGCGGTTTCACCAATCACCGATGGCCAATCGTTCCTCGCTACTTTGCCAAAGGTGGCTAAAAATGTCACCGTACTCTATCTATCCTACCGATATCACTTCCCGCCGTTTTTCAACCCACTTCCTATGCCCCAGTACGGCTAACGTCTTCCCCTGGCTATCCCATGCCTCAAACACCTCCCTGTACTTTTCTTCTGAGGGGGGGTCTCAACAAGCGAGGCGTGACGAACGAGTCATGTGTCATGCCACTTCAAAGGGATACCGTGAGTGACACACTAAGTTATGTCACACACCCCGGCACTGATGGTCAAAACTCCAAGAATCCACGACGAACAGAATGTATTAATCAATCATAACGGTACGCTTTCGGCAAGCTCTCTCGACAAGGCGGTTCGAACGCTTTCGTTTCCAGCCACGGTCACTCTTTGTTGCCTTGAAGAAAATGAGCTTTTTGAGAATTGGTTCACGGGGCGTGACATCTTTTGTCGCCTACGGTAGTCTACACCTACAAGTGCGAGAGGAACAGAAACCCGCACAACACGGTACAAGAAATAGAACACAGAAAATAGCCAGAGAGTCTCGGTCAACAGCGGATACGAGTTTGGTTTTTCCACTAAAAACTGTTCCGAAGGCGCAGAACTGGCGAAAGGTACACACAGTAGAATCAGCTCCAACGAAACAACGGCAGTTTCATTCAGGCCACGCCCAACACGGGCGTCAAGCAGGAGCAGTCGCGGTGATAATCAAGGAAGACACGCCGCTCGCCGACGTATGTGTGTACAGCAGGAGTGGTCCCGATATACGAATATATCGCGGTGTTGTAGTGACAAGCGCTCTATCGGGACTAGTACTATTGGGGGACGGCCCCTGAGTACAAACTTAGTAGGTTGTTGTACCAAGGACGTTCTACCGCGATAAATCGGGGAAGTAACCGCATTCGCGAGGATTTGAGATTTTTTGAGGATATGTACCAGGGAGGGGGATACGCAGATCCTATCCCTATACCCAACTTCGCCGATCCTTTGCATCCTTTCGCCAACAAGTTAAACTTAGGGTTAGGCTACTGCTGTACTGATCGGGAACCGCTCTATTCGGTACGGCGATATTTTGTCGGGACCACTCTTGTACCTCGATCTCGTCGAAGAGCTCGTTCGCCCTGGCCTCCTCGTTGTAGAAGAGCGAGAAGAGCTTGATGGCCTCCGCGCGGCCGAGTCCCACGGCCTCCCCGCTCTCCAGGTACGACACGACAGCCACCCCGTTGTGCACCATGGTGGCGTTCGGGCACCACGAGGTCGTGAGCGAGTCCCCGAAGGCCACCTGTGTGTTTTCGGTCCAGAGGCGTTTTGTTTTTCGAAGCGTTGCTGTTTTGCAGTGACGGAGGGAGAGAGCAGTAGCCTTCGAGAGGACAATAACCTTTGTTTTAGTAGGTGGGGTTGGGGATAAGGATACGAACCCGCCCTGTCTATTTCATCGATAAAAAAAAAAAATCCTCCGGAAGGCAGTCCGGAGAGAGAGGGGGGGAGGGGAGCGTTGCGTTGCCGATGCGTGTCTGCGTTCTAGATATGTGCGTAGCAAAATAAACGGCCGAGGACCTTGCACACTTTGCGGCAGCGCACGGCGAACAGCAAAGCAACAACCGTTCGCCCGAGGAGGTCCCGTAACCGGTTGTCACATGTGTACGAACTCTTGACGTAGTGGGTGTGTTCGCCGCCCGACCAGGCTGTTGCTTAGAGAGTACCGGTAGCGGGAAGCGTGCGCCCGAACCTACGCGTGGCTTGGTCAACCATGCGCATGCAATTATTTAGCTTGCGACATTGTTCGGTGAGAACCGGTTGGGGAGTGAGTTGGGGCTGGTCTCTTGGGTGTCGAAACGCAACCAGCCGTCTTACCGAAGCCGTTTCACGAGAAGGTACGTAGATAAAAAATATGAAGCTTCCAATGATTACCACCAGACCTTCTACTGACGTCATGATGAACAAGAACACGAGTGATATTTAGTACTGCTGCATTTGTACACATGGGTGCGAGACACGATGAAACCGGTGCCGAAAAGTACCAAAAGCGGTGCTTTTTCTTCATTTTTTTCTTTTCGACCAACATTCCCAAGCTCGCAAGCGTGCACCAACACACCTCTACCGAGGCGTTGACGAGGGCCTCGTTGTCGATGATGTCCTGCCCGCACACGGTGTCGAACGTCAGGGCCTGAACCACAGTCCCGTTATCGACGAGTTCGTCCACGCATGGCGACCCGATCAGCCCCACGTTGCCAGTGTAGGCCACGATGCTGTCCCTGTGTCCCAGGAGCTGGGATCGATCCGATGTGTTTTGTGTGTGAGCACGCGAGACGCGAGGGGGGGGGGGGGCACGAGGGGCGGTTGGCGTGCAGCACGTTCCCGATTTAGGCGTGATTTGGTCTCTAGCCTCTGCCTACAATAAGAGTAGGAGTGGTAGTGGCGCCGGCTTGCTCTCTTTACGCAGCCACTTAGTCTACACTTCGAAGAAGAGGCTCGTATGCATACGAACGGCGAGAAACCGCCGTACCAGGTACTTCATGGTTTACAACGTATGTAGCTTCCGGCCTCTAAGTTAAGTCATCTAAATAATGCGCGCGGGGGGGAAGAGATTATGGGGGAATCTCCCGCCTGAATTTCACCGGCACAAGGCGGCCCTTCCCGTGCGGTGGTGCTGAGATGCAACTGCTGCGAATACAACTGCATCACTGGGCACTACACTTTTTCTTTTAGCCACGGCTGCTGTGTGCCGGGAGTTGATTGGACCTTGTACCACCGACAATCCAACAGCACCGGAGGTTAACGGGCTGATCCATGGTTTTCCGGAGGCGGCCCGACACCGCTTGAGGACTATCGTAGACGAGAGAAGGAGACGGAGACAGTAAGAGCACAACAACCTCAGGTTGCAGGGGTACCGACTGGTCATAACATGAACAGCGCCGAGATTGCTGGCATCAACAACACATTCCATGCCCATCAATCAAGAACTTCCTGCCCACACAGGAGAACCGGATCCATGCTGACGAGTGAAACATCAAATCAATCTAGTTAAAGCGAAGCACCAGTTTATTTTGACTATTTATTGATTCAACAAGAGTTTTTTTGCAGCCAAGAATGTAAGTGCGCGGAGGAGGGGCCACCATCTACCCAAGCACGACCACCGCGCAACACGCCCGAAAGACTTCACCTCAATTCTCGGGACGTGGTCCGTGGTTCCGGTAGACACGTTCGACACGGGGATGCTGATGTACTGCTGCACGACGGTCGTGTCGTCGAGGTCCGGCACGGGCGTGCCGCACTGGTAAAGGACGTACACCGTGTCCGAGAACCCATCCGACACTGTGAGGACCTTGTACGTCGGCAAGTAATCCACGGTGAACGTCTCCGCGTACTCGATGACGGCCTTGTCGGGGAAGTAGTCCACGCCCGCCGCGGCGTCGTAGTCGGCCACGCAGCCGTCCGGGTTGCTCGACAGAGACGACGACCCGCTAGTAGTGGTCTGGGCCAGGACTACGTTGCTGCTGTTGCACCCGAGGAGGCCTGCGGCTGCGGCCGCCCCGAGCAGAAGCTTGATCGTCGTCGTCATGCGGCCACTTGGGTTGAACCGCGTTCCTCTCATGATTGTTGAACAATGATGCGGGTCAAGGGGTCGGTTCACGCGAACAAACGATAATGCGCAGAACAGAAAGAACGGGAGATTTGTAGATATCCAACGTCCTGCTGTGCGTGTGGGTAAGAAGAGAGGCGGTAGGCGTCCCTGAGATGCTGGCCGTTGACGTAGAGAAGCGTCGCGCGAATGTGAAAGGAAGGAAGTTCGCAAGGTGGATCCATCCCCTTTGACCAATAGCAACCTACGCAGGCGCGTGATTATCTCGGCTGGCTCGGTTCCGGCCACCGAGTGACGTCGGTAGATTCACCGAGTAGTTTTTTTTTTTGCAGTTTCGTCGCCTGCTTCTTTTTTTATTGACGTGAGATCTCCGGAGAAGTGAGGCGGCCAAATTACATACGTTGTAATTTTTTTTATTCAAGTGCGGCCTTCGAACTTCACTTGTACTCCTCCTCCCCCTAGAATCTTTCGTGAAGCGCAGCATACGGCGATCATAGCGAGGAGTACGGCCTGCGTGTGTAGGGTCGCCTGTTCGCCGATACCTGCCAGGATGTCCCACGCGGAGGCCTTCGGGCAGCTCGGCTCCTTTATGGTCGGCCTCGAGACGAAGGCGAGGGACCTCCGGAAGGTGCTCGAGAGCAGTCGGAACGAGGACGGGAAATGGGTCAACGGCAAAGACGGGACAGGCATCGGAGAACGCTGCTCCCGAGGTGTGAGAGAGAGACGAACAAAGCGTGTAGGAGGCGTTGCGTTGCCGTTGAAGAGCAAAAACGCAATTTCGGAAGCACGTGGTTCCAATCGTGTATCTGGACACGTTGGATGAGCATTACACGTATTTAGTAGTTCCATGTTTGTCCCGGCTTGCGGGTCATCTTCCTCCTGGCTTCATGCTGCGCTCCAAGCCGATCTGTCTGCTGGTAATACTGCGGTGAGAATTACATATAGACTACAGTGTCTGGTGGACGTAGGGTAGTCCTCGGCCATGGCTATGGATCGATATATCACCATACCCTTGAAGCTCTCTAAATGAGCGAGCTACGCACACCCGGTGGAAAGGAGGGTCTCTGCGTGCGTCGCTGCGTCGCTGGTCTCTGTCTGTGGCAACTTACCTTTTTTTTTTCACCTGCTGCTGGGTTGCTGGCATCGTACTCTCAGTAATAGCGTTACACAACAGTGCAGCTTGCCGAAACTATCTAGATGCTTCGGGCAACGCTCGTAGTCCTATGCCGCTGACGGTCTAGCATAAGGACCATCAGCGCCCTTGAGATGTACTTCTACAGCAGTTTGCAGTTATTGTAGCTGATATGCCTGCACTTCAAGCACTCTACCCACAGCGACAATTCAGCCACGGCGTATTCCCGCAATACCTCATGCTAGACACCCACATCCACATACAATACTGTAGTCTACCGCCTCTGCGAGATACCGTTCCCGTTACTACCTTGCCTCGCTTAACGTACAAATGCTGAAGAAAGTTTTTTTTTACGTTGTCGCGGGGGAGACCCTCCCTGTAGCGTCGTTGACCGTTTGGTCAAAAGCTCTCGCTGCAGTTTACGCAATAGACACCTCTCCCGGCACTTCAACACATTTTTGGTTTGTGGGGGGGGTTCGCGGAATACCAGGGGCGTCACCACAGGTGTCCCATCTAGCTCAATCTTCTCATCGGCGGTGCTGTCGTAACGGCCGGCCCCCCCGCGCACGTTACAATGTACAGCGATTGGGGCGGCAAGCCCGGGTCAGGTGACGAAGGAGATGATCGCGGAGGTCGCGGAGCAGGACAGGTTGATGCGTCAAGCGGAGGAGACCATGCGGACCGACAGGCCCATCGAGGAGGTAAGAATCAGCGTCGCTTTCAGAGAGAAAGTGGTAGCCCGATGCATTTACAGCTGGCTGCTGCAGGGAGGGAGCGGGGTTTAAAGGTCCTGGAACGGGGGGTATGTAGTTCCTGCTGACGGTGCTCATCCCCTGCGTCAAAAACAAATTCCAAGCATGTCGTTCGTTGGCGCCAGAGCCGGCCTTAATCTACTTTTTGCTGCTGCTGTAGACTTGAGCGGTTACGGTTGTGCTGCAAGAGGGGGGCCGACGTTGGAGATCTTCGTTATTCCACACAAAATGTTTCGTCGCTCCTCCAGACTGCTGTATCGCACGCACGCCTGTTTCTCTGTCGTGCGCGCTCTACATAGCACACCGCCAACGGGACAACACACTAAACGCCTGGTTCTGCCACTGCTGCTGCTGCTGCTGCTGTTTCCGGCAAATCTCGCGCTCGTAGGCAACTGAAAAGTACCAGGCCCTGGTCGAGTACAACCAGCTGGCATTGGAGGACCTCGAAGAACGCCTGTCCGCGGTGAGACTGGGAATCTTCTCCCCTCCCCTCTGGTCTACGAACGCAGCGAGATCCCGAAGTTCTCCGTGCTTTTACGTGCCCATGCTCTCCGATGACTCGCTGCGATTGACCTTAGTAACAATTAAGAAGTAGGCTACTGTGAACTGGGTGAAATACCGTGGAACGAAAGGAGGCTGCCGCGACATGCAATCTCATGTGTGTATACCCGCATTGGGCGGAAATTGTTACAGCGGCCACAACTAAGGAAGAGCGTTCGTTCCCCAAGGAAGGCCGCTGCGGTGGTGGTTGGTCACTGCCTGTGCCGAGCGTCGGCACCGACCCCGCTGCAGCGTTCTTCTCGCGAAGCGCGTCATCCTGTTGTCTTCAACCGCAACATGTCCGGCGGGAAGTGGGCAGAAAGTTCCAGTCCGACACCGCCGTACCGGGCGCAGATTGTCGCTCCCCTTGTCGACAGACACACGCACAGCAGCAGTTAGATGCTTGTATGCCATTTTTTGTGCCAATGCCATTTTTTGTGCCACGGTTTTCGTTCATTTCAACGAGAGTATCGGACTGAAGGCCCCCCCTCCGCGCTTTCTCTCCCCGACCCTTCCGTTCGTCTCGAAGAATTAATTAAGCAACCAAATGCCTCCCTCGCCCCCCCCGCCCCCCCTCCCGTCCCCCGTTGCTGCCGATACGGGTTTCCAGTACGGGTACGTGCGTCCCGCTCGTGTCGCCCTCGACACAAACACCGCTGTTGCTACCGCCGCCCCCCCAGGGGTGTCGAGCGTCGCCCGCTTGCCCACCGGCGCCAAGACCGGCGGCAGACCGGCGGCCAATGGCTGCCACAAGAGCAGGCCCCATCAGTGTGAAACCAGGGGCGGCGGCGGCGGTTTCGTTGCTGCCGGGGATGGGGCGGCGACCGCCGGCTCCGGCGCTGCGGCCGGGACCGAGAAGGAAGGAGATGCGGAGAGCGGAGAGGGCCTCGAGGCCGGTGGCGTGACCACGGGGGCGGAGGCGTTTGTTGGCTCCGGGGTGGCCGGCGGCGGAGAGGTGGGAGCGGAGGAGGAGGAGGAGGAGGACGCTATTGCCGACGGAGCGGTGGCCGCCGCCGCCGGTGCTGCTAGCGGCACGGGGGGCGTTGCAACGCCCGCCCGCGCTGCTTCTACCTTGCCCGTGCCTCAGGAGGGCGAGGAAGGAGAAGAAGATGAAGAACCGGGATCGCCCCCGACCCCGGCCAGTCCAGGTCTGGCTGACTGGGAGATTACCGAGGTGAGAGCACATCTTATCTTTGGGCTCCTTTATCTTAGAAAACCATCTGACACAACCAGTTCTCGACTTCGTGGAGCTGTCAGCGATCTCAAGCTTGGTGGTGTTGAGTGCCAGTGGTCATCCCGAGAGAGCTGTCGGGGCGCTCGGTAGCAATGAATCTGCTGTTGTTGTTTTTTTACCCCTGTTTTCGTCATGACCGGCAATTGTTGACCTCTTCTATAATCTGCCTTTCCTTTCACGTGTTTTCGGAACTGCCGAAACGTGGGTGCCTTCAGGGAGCCCGGGAGATGCTCCGCCGGGCACAACCGCAGCAGCAGCAGCAGCAGCAGCAGCAGCAGCAAGACCAAAGCGAGAGAAGCAACAGCGGAGGCGGTGCGGCTGCGGCCGCGCCTCGGTCTCTCGAGGCGCTCCTCGCCGAGAACTCCGCGCTCTCCGGCGGTGGCAGCCGCGACGGTGACGGCGGCGGCGGCGGCGGCGGCCGGCGGTCTTCCGTATCGAGCAACTGGTCACCGCCGCCGTCTTCGACGGCGGAGGCTGGGCTGTCGCGCTCGAGCAGCCGCCGGCAGCAGCGGAGGAGGAGTTGCGGGGTCGGGGTCGGGCGGGTAGACGACGGAACCCCCTCGGAGAGCTCGGGCGGGGCTGGGGCGGCGGACACGCCTATGACCGGGCGGGCGGCGGCGTCGCCGTGGGGAGGGTCTAGCTCTAACCCCCCGACACCGGCGAGAATGAAGTTCGAGGGCTGGACGCCAGAAGAGCGAGACCCTGCTGGGGTCGGAGGGAATAGGTGCGGTGTGATGGTGTCGTGTAACGAATGTCTTCGATCGCAGAATTGTTTTTTATTGCGTGGGGTGGTGATGTTTTCTGAGGTTGCGGAGGGGAGGATGGTGAGTGGTTGAGGCCGAGCGTGCGGAGGTTAGGAGGGGGCGGCTGCTTGTTTGCGGGAATAAACGTTTTGCATCTCGGTGAGTGCAATAAGCGCTATTTTGCTTGTGTGTGAACCCTTTTCTGGCACCATGCCAGTGTGCGTGTTTGTCGGGAATCAGGAGCGTCTTGTTGGCTCTGGGCCTCTCCATGATTACGCGTACACTCCTCTATTGCACAGGCAAATAAGCTAGGTCAGCACCAATCCCATCCCTTTGTCTAGCCATAGAAGGGAGGGCAAGCGATGAGTAGAAGTGGCGAGTTAGCACGCCGTCCTAAGAAAGAGGCGTTCTTGTTGACCGAACCGAAAAACATGTAGCCGGGAGAGGGGCTGAAAAAGGAAGGAGGAACGACGTGATGCTAGTTTTTGTCACCTGAGAGAGCTTTTTTCTCAACGGCATGGTGGAGGGTGTGCCTCTGCCAACAGAAACGCCATTCGTTGCAACAGCAGCACCAGCAGCGGGGTAGACGCCCGCGTCCCTTTCCACAAACCCCCAACAATACATACATGTAGCAGCGGCGCTCGTTGATGTTTGCTGCCCCTTTCGCGACAGGGTGTCTTCTACCGGGACCCCCAGCTTGGGATTTAGGTCGCCTCTGAACAGCGACGTGACGGCGAGCTTGATAGAGACGGCTTTGAGCGTAGGCAAGCGGCCAGATGTGGCTTCCACTCCCAGGTTCGTACTCCGTGGACGGGTGTTGCCGGTATGAATGTCTCGCTGATTTGAGTTTTGGTGAGGTTTGTGTGTTTTTTGTTCTTGCAGTCGGCCTGTGTGCCAGCGCCGTCAAGCTGAGTGTTGGTGGGCAATCGCAAATCGGAAAGCATTCCGGCCGCCCCTCCCCCAATCCCTCGGTTGCTATTTGGAGGCGGTCGTCCGGCTGGGTCACACGCGTATCGGCCTGCCATGTCGAGTACAGCTGATGCCGCCGTGTGCCTCCCCCCCCCGAGGCCTCGATACCGACGACGCAAGCCTCGCCCCTTGACCCATCGTACTCCTGCTGCTTTCCTTCCCCCTCGCTATTCCTTGCTCTTGTCCAGCGAGGAAGGCGCGTGCCGCTCGGGGACGGAGATCACGCGTCCCAAGCCGACCCCCATCAAGCGCGTGTCGCTGCAGGTGATCCCAAGGGCGTGGGTCGCGGGAAGGGGGGGGGGGCTGCGGGCAAATCGGGTTGGACGTATGATGGTCGAAAGACGTCAGTGTCGAAGCTCGACGGGAGGAGGGACGTAGTACAAGCACAGCAGCTGTTGGTGCTTGAGTAGAATTATGTCGCTGGAGCAAACGGCACGCTCGGATGGTGCTTGTTGTGTCGTGGGTGTGTTGGGGGCCTATCCCTCCCCTTTTTGACCTTGGGATGCCTGCGGGGACAAGGTTTTGACGATTTTCGAAAAGCAGGGCTTGTTAGCGCCAAGGACAGGCGCCGTGCCGTTGGGAGCACCCGCGGCCGTGTAGGCAAATACTGGACTGAGGGTTTGCACGACAACACTTACATGCGGAGTGAGTAGCGATTGCGATACCAGGGGGTGAGTGCTCTCGACGCTCTGAGCCGTTGCGACAACAAGAAGTTGGTGCTGTGGGCGCCCAGAGGGAGCGAAAAAACCGCACAGCCAAAAACGTATCCGGGGCGTTGTGAGCCACCCGCCGTAACCCCTGGTTTCTTGCGTATCCTAGCCTCTCCGGTCTACTGCGAGGCTACCTCGGCAGACGATCCCCACCTTCCCTCTGAATAGGCCAACACTTTTTTTTTGTTTTTGGCGTGGCAAGGAGTTGTGTTCTGCCAATCAAGGGAAACACAAGAGAACGATGCCTCGCTGCAACCCCCACATGCTCAAGGCTCTTATCTCCCTCCCTCCCCCCTCCCGCCCTCGCCCGTTGCCCTCTACTGTAGGGAAACGAGGCCTCTGTCACAGGCGGCCTGCCAAAGGGACCCCGTGGCGACTTCTGGGGCAACGCATCCCCCGAGTCCTCCGTCGTAGCTTCATCGCGAGAAAACACGGCCGAACATCGACCCGACCCCCCGCGCACCCCGGAAACTCCCGCCACGTGAGTTTGTGGTGCTGGTGTCAGAAGAATCAGTTTTCGCCCCGTGTTAGCGGTCAAGGGCTGTCAAAGGCCCTTCCGGTGGTTTTGCCTTTTTTGTGCGAAAGTCTCCACCAGGGGTTCGTGGGAAAGGAGGTCGTTGCTGTTGTGGCGTTTTTGTGCCTGCAGATGTAGCGAAGGTGGGGACGAGAGGGACCCCCACCCACCCCCCGCGCTCTTGTTAGGACGCGTTGGTTGTGTGTGAAGAAAGTAGTCCACGTAGCAGGAAATCGCGGCATGTATTCCTATCCTCCTCTGGTGCCCTACCCCCCATCCTCCAACCGGTTAATCCTCCTTCCGTTGCGTACCCGTGCAAGATTCTCTTCTTGTCTGAGCACTCTTGTCTCTGTCGATCTCACGCCTTCTGCTTCGGTGCGCCCGTTCGGCAGACCCCGGATGCTTTCCCCTCGTTTCCTGGCGGAGAGCGCCAGCGGGGGTGATGATACCGGTCGCGGAGGTCGCGCCGCCAGCGCCTGCCCCTCGGACCGAGTGACGCGATCAGCGAGCCGTGCAATGAACCCGGCCGCCTCAAAGGCCGCCGATGGCCCCGGCGGCGACGCAGACGCCAACGTTAGCACCGATTGGCGCGGCAGTGACCACGACGGCCGCGGCAGCAGCGACGGCTTTGACTCGGACGCGTGCCCGACGCCCGAGTTGTCGTCGCCGTTGCGCTCCGCCACCGTTTCTGTCCGGGACCTGCAGGTTCTCACCCCGTCCGCTAAAGTCAACACCGGCGACCGCGGCGGCGGCGGTGGTGGCTACAGCGGCGGCAGCACCTACAACTACGACGACGGCAATGATGACGACGATTCTGAGCAGTGCCCGACCCCCGAGCTGTCCTCGCCCCTGCGCTCTGCGGGAAGCGCGGCGCTTTGCCGCCGGCGGCTCGAGGAGGCGGACGGAGACGGCAGCCGCGGCGACGATGATGAGGTGGCCGGGGTAGGGGGCAGCATTGGGCCGCTGGATTTCGTGTCGGAGGAGGAATACGCCAGGGTAAGCCGGGGGTTGTTGATTCGTCATAGCAGGGACCTGTACGGTAACGGGTTTTCCACGGTTTGTTTCACAAGTACCGTTCGTTTGTTTCACAAGTACGGTTGAACGAACCTACCGGGTTTGGAGCTCGGGAGGGCGAATGTCGGTGACTGCTGGAAAGAGGCAACGGCAGAGAATACCCCCCCCCCCCGTTGCTTGATGATGTGCGTTTGTTTATAGTCTGGTCCGATGAAAACCCGGCGTGCTCCGTCCCGGCATTGTAGGGATGCGAGGTCAATGGTCTAACGACTACGGTAGACACGACTATGAGTACACCCCGCTCTCTCTCTCTGCTCCCGCAGCCTGCATTGCTCAATGGGGTGTCTGCTTATGCTCTACTGGAACAGTGCAGTTGCCCCTCGTTTCTCCGTCAATTTTGGTAGTACCCTTGGCTTTGTGGTCTCACTCGCTTGATTCCCGACTCGTGTAGCGGGGAGAGCCCGACTCTGCTGCCCGCTCTCAAGAAGGAAGTTTAAATTCCCGAATTCCAATGGTTGTACTCTCCTCTTGCAACGGGACCTGACTCCCTTCCCCTTGCCCCCCCCCGATAGGTATTCTCAATCCTTGGCACTCAAGAATAGTCTTCAATCTTCATTTTCTGCTTCAGGCACCCCATCCTGGCGATTCTACTTACAGTAGTGGGAAGACTTACCCCCCTCACTTCTTCACTCTATCTCTAAAAAAAAACTCTGTTTTTAACCTCAACCCGAACACCCCAACAGGCTCCCAAGTTCCTGACCATCCAAGTGTCGCGAAGCGTCCTCAACGATACTATCGGCAACCTCAACGCGTACGCGGAGCCGCGACTGGCCTCGCCCTCCGAGCTGCTGCTGACGGTGGACGAGATAATGGGCATCATCGACCAGGGAGAGCTGTCGCGGACGCTGCTGCTCTCCGCGGCGCACCTGAAGCGGATCGAGGTGTGTGCGTGCGCGCGAGTTACATGGTTGTCGCGTGTTTTTTGGCGTCATCGTGTTGTTTGTCCCTGCCGTCTAAGTCGGCGTGTCACGTCATCGTGTTGTTCTCTTTGCCGCAAAAGTAGGCACCCCTTCCCCGGTTTGCAGGGAGGGGGGCAGTGTAAGCAACATGACGGCGCTGTCCGCGTCTTGCACCGGAGTACGAAAGTGAGTTTAGTTGCCGTGGTGAAGGTGAATCAACAGCATCACTTTTGTGGGGAACCCGCCCGCATCTGCTCTCTCGGGAACACGGCTTGCTGGTGAGGTAGACAAATGATACCGCGCGCAAGAGGTGCCCGTGACATCCTACCGAAATTGTTTTTTGGCAGTAAGGTCTGTTGCGACCGTATCAATTGCCGTCGCATGCACGAGGAAATGTTTTAGAAGCCAAATCAAACCGCTAGACTAGCCAGCGCTGGCTAGTCTGATGGTTTGATATCGGCTTCAAATAGGTCTATTTTTAGTGAAGAAACACCCTCGGTTCATCCTCCATGCCCCCATCTTCCATCCACCATACCTTACGTTACCGGCTTACCTCCTCCCCCACCCATCGGCACGCGTCGCCCATCCACACACACCCCGCGCACCCTTTTTTCTCCGCCTGGCTCCTTCCTCGTTTGATCAGATGAAGGGCCCACGGATGTACCGCATTCGTACCTGATGGGCCGAGAAGAGACCCGTGATACTTGGGGGGATATCTGTTCCAGGCACCACCACGCCCCGCAGATCGTGTACAATACTCCGGATCATTTATTTTCAACGTGAAGACCTATGGTATGTGCAACGGCGTTTGTTTCTGCTTTTTTTTTTTTTTTTGGTCGTGCGAGTGAATGTGCCCTGCGCGCAAGTGCCGCGGGTACGCCGGGAAGGTACATACGGGTTCCCTTGTTTTTTTTTGCGGGTGAGGTCTCTTGGCAGAGACAGGCAGCGTACCCGCTTTTTATGTGGTGCGGGTCTGTACAACGCCGACACCAGCCCTATGTAGCTACAGTTGTGCGAGAATCGGACCATCCGGAGACTTCAATACATCGTGCGGGTCACCGGCCCTCCCTGCAGATAGTACTGTAGTTGGTTGCGGTAAGAGCTGACCCATACGTATCCCCGCCGAACAAATTTTAGTTGCGGCAGTACTTTGAGGTTGAAATAAGATTGATTTGTTTCGGTGAACGGCTTGGTTGGGTACGTGCATCCGTATCGCCACGCAGCCCTACGCGTGCGGCTGTTTGGCGCCAAGTCCTTGTTACAGTAGTGGTCCCGGTACAATGAATACCGGTGCGGTGCAGCCGATTTCACCGGCATTGTAGCGGGCAACCGGCATTATTCGGAGTATGAAACAACTTGAATACTCTGTCTGTGCCAGACGATTTCACCGGCATTATACCGGGCGACCGGCATTATTCGGCCGGTATTATACCGGGACCACTACTACTGCTGTCTCGTTATTTTTTTTTGCTTTGAGAGAGAGCGTCCCGGCGCATTTCGTTTTCTTTCTTTCTTTCTTTTTCTTGTGTCGTGAGGATGTTTTTTTTTTTCTCCCATCATTGGACTCTGTCGTCTGCCCTCTGGCCCGCCCCCATCCTCCACTTCTACTAGCTAGACGACCCAACCGGGGTCACGAAGGAGGGGGGGGTTGGACCCCCTCCTGCGGTTCCTGCCTGAGATGTTTGTATCGTGAGAAGGGTACAGCAATCCCTTCCCTCGCGACATATGAAGTCGATCTACTTTACTGACATAACAACGAGCTTTGCAGCGCGTCGCTTCCAACTTATTTTAGACCAGGATTTATTTAGTGAGAAAAAGAACGAACCCATAAAGGGTTAATGGGCTGCGAGGGTACCCACTAGACCACCGGGGCGACCGTATGTGGTTTCCTGGCCATAGAGACGACTCTCTCTCTCTCTTCTTGGAGTTCTGGTGATGGCGTTGCTCTACTACTACTACTTACTGTCATTGTCTCGTCTCCCCTATTCGTGTCTTTCTTGCATATGTATAATATGTATTTGTATGACTTGTATTATTGTGTCCACGCGCAACATGTTGAGAATTTTACATCTCTTTTGTGTGGTCACCGTTTTCGGATTTTCGGATTTGGAGAGTTTGTATGGTACGCAACACGGCCGGCCATAGAAGGTGTGGTCTTGCGTGCATGCACGGATGAATACGGCTTGACGACGAGAGGCTCGGAGATCTGCAACACTACGTTTGGAAGTATTTCTTCTTGCTGTGTGCTGGATGGATGGATGGATGCAGGACGACGTCCGTCCGTTCGTTTTCCCGCTCTTGTACCCAGTAAGAAACGTCAAATCTCGGGTCGAGGCTCGTGTCTCACCTCTCTTGCTACATTTATTTTCTATAAGTCACCTTCGAGCATAAGATTTTCCGTTATTTCCTGAACATTGGTTGGTGTGTATGTGATGACGTCACTGGTTTCGTAGAGAGACGTGGCAGAGATGGCGCGGATAGCCCGGGTGCCTTTATTGTGTACCTGCATCGTGGAAGACCCCACCCTTCAATGTGGAACTATTCCTGATCAGTGTCGAATATTTTCACTGCTGTGTCCAACACAGATGATCAGGGGTAGATTCGGTTATTGTCAGTTGCAATGATGGCTTTGGTTGGTTGTTCTTTTTCACTGTATGTTGTCCACGGACGGACGCATTCTGACAGCACTTCAGACAGCAGTTGCGCGCCACGAACTTGTACCATGCCTACCATGGTGTTATTGTACAGGCAGCACTCCAGACAGCTCCAGACAGCTGTACGCTGTAGTCGACATTCATTTTGGTAAAGTGTAGGACGGGGGGGGTGATGCTGTTGTAGTCGAATGTAGTGTGTGGAAGTTCAGTTTTTGGGCACGCAAACGTGCGGCAGGGATGTAGGTGTTCCTCTACGGGCTTGTGTACCCTTTTCTTGTAGTTTGCGTGTTTTTTGGATCTTCTGATGGCTCATGGCTCTAGCATTTGTGACCACGGACGACCACGTCTTTGCTAGATTTTGGGATTATTAGCAACTGACACGAGTTTAATGTGAAGACAACAACAACAACAACAACAACAACATGTTCCATACAATATTTTCAACAAACTTCCAGCGGGGGGGGAGCGGATACAAGTCCTGGAAGATTCGTTCGAATATTAGACTATTCCGCAAAGGAAGTACCTTCCTGAACTGGGTTGCTGCGTTGTTGCTGCCTGGAACGCAGAGTGAGTGTCTCGCACCTTGCACAGCATCGCAGATAGAAGACTACTGCAAGGTATCGAGTCGTCACCCCCGCGGCTCATTACTCCCCCCTATCTAGTACTGTACCTGGCGGATGTATAGTATAGATGGTACGGGTGGGCTGATGCGTGCGGATGATGCATGTCTGGTTCTACGTATCCACACCCACCCGTCGTCTTGTCGAAGGTCGTAACGTTGTTGTTGTTGTTGTTGTTGTTGTCTTCACATTAAAAACCGTTCCGATCTCTCTCTACCTTCATATGTCCGTACTGATCCAACACTTGACGCGGTCGATTCCCCCCTTGGTCACAGGCTAACTTACCCTAAAAAAAATAAATTCGTGGTGTCATATTAAGAAAAAAAAAAAAAAAGTTACGCTCAAAATAAACTGGCCCCGAGGGGTCCGCAAGTACCGTATATGACACAAGATAACACACCCCCTTGGCCGATTTTCAAAGCTCGATTTCTCAACAGCAGGAAGAGTCACAGCGCCGAAAACGGCGGCGTTGGAACCGTCTCGTCGAGAGCTGTTCGAAAACGTATTGTTTCATTTATGCATCCTCTTCGTCGTGGAGTAATCGAGCTTTGAAAATCGGTCCAGGGGGTGTGTTATCTTGTGTCACTACTTCGTCAATAGAAATCAACGACAGATATTCTGGAGTCCTCCGCTCCCTCTTCGCCTTATGCGAGGTCGTGCAAGTGACCCAAGAAAATCCCCGGGGACTACACTTACTTGCCCGTGTTGCACACCACCAACGGTATAATAATATTATTAACAAGACAAGAAGAGAAGATTGAACGGTCTCGGTTGAGCATATATATATATTATTGTTACGGAGGACCCGATTCGCAGGGTATCCGTCGATTGACTTTTACCAGAATCGGTACACCTTCTTCGCATAATATGGCGTCAGCTGGATACTGGTTCGAATCTCCTTGGGTGCACGTTTTTTCTCCTGACTTGGACATTTTCCCACGGACACCATGTGTGTCAGTCCTGAGAACACCTCTTGGAATCGATCCTATAAAGAACCTTGTGACACTTCCACCGAATTTCCCGTCCTGGCCACAAGAGGTTCCCAGTTGAGGGTAAATTCTGTGGGTGGAGAGTGTTAAGGAGGACCCGATTCGCAGGGTATCCGTCGATTGACTTTTACCAGAATCGGTACACCTTCGCATTATCAGAAAACTGCGGGCACCTTTTCTCTCTCTCTCTACGCAAGGAGGAGGTGCGAGATGAATATTATTTATCTATTGTATGCATACTATACATGCACGTGAGTCCTCCGAGGCCAAGGGAGGCTTCTTCTATGTGTACACAGTAGTAGTTACTTCTTCACACAATCAACAGTCAGTCATTCGTCGACTAAATGAAGACATACATAGATAGATACATACATACGCGAATGAATGAATGCTGACATGATGATCGTCTGCCCTGATTCCGGCTGCCGAGTATATATGTGGGGCAGGTGCCAACGATGCTCACATTTATTTACCGCCTTGCATTCAGGGACTAATTCATATTGATTATTGTCCGCATTTATTTACGTTGCCTGCAGACAAAATATTACTGTTGTTGTTGCCGCAACCAAGCAGTTACGTACGTACTTCATTTTTGCTGTGGAGCCAGCTACACTGCTGCTGCTGCTGTTGTTGTTGTTGTTGGTCATATGTACTCCCCAAACCCAAAAACAATTAATTAAATCAAACACCCCCATATATAAGGCTATTCGTTGTTTTTTTGCTGTTGACAAAGGAGTTTTGTGCGCCTTTTGTAGGGCGAACACTAATTACGATTTTTACACTCCAAATTGTTTGTTATTCTATGTATCCAAGTCAATATTTATTTCCGACATATTATTTCTAGAAAGATGTACGGCATGTAGATAGATAGCCCCTTTTCGGCGTATTTGGCTTGTTGTGGCCGCGGGAGGATTCCGCGTCAGTCAGTTGGACCAGGTACGTACGGGTTACGGGTTATATTATACAAAATGACCAAGGCTCGGAGAACAGAACGGCATTTTTCTTTTTTTTTTATGGATGCATCGATGCAATAATAACTAACTGCTGTATATGGGTGAAGACATGTCACAGCAGTTGCACAGCAGCGTAGCAGGAGACAGCAAGCGGAATAAATTCGCGGCAGTTCTGGTGCCGTTGGAAAGATCTCCGTTGGGATCTCCGTTGGAATCTACCAACTCCGAACACAAATATTTCGAAAAATTCAAAAATTCATCGTTGTGGCAGAATGCTGGTGGTGGTGGTTGATCGCGTGGCAACGTAACGGATGAAAAAGTCAACGACTATACAAACGGATCCATACAACAGCAGCAGTTCGCTTGCTGTCGCATCCTGCCCCGCGCAGTCTATCTCACATCCCCACTCTCGCCACACACTCTTCTACACCCCAGGCCACGCACACCACACACACACCTTGTCCCGCTCTTTGTTATACCATGACTCGTCTTGGTGCCATCGCTGCCCTCGCGGCCGGATTCGCGCAAGTGTCCTTTGCCCACATCATGCAGAAGTATCCGATGTCCAGGCAGCTATCGCGTGGAATTGACTTCAAAGCATGGTGAGAGCATACCCGCTGACTTGACAACGAGAGCGTGTTCTCTGGGGCCAACGGTTATGTGGGCTAGTGTACACTGGTACATGTAGAAGGCAGTGGCAGCAGTAGTACAGCAGTATCATTACTGCTGCTGCTGTGGATGTATGTCCGGCCCCAGCTGTTCTGTCTCTCTCACTTTCTCGCTCGCTCGCTCGCTCTCCTCTCTCGTTCGCTAGCCCACCTGGACGCATATCATGTGAGAGGCCCCCAAAGCCCGGGTTTTGAGAGTACTGTGAACGGCTGCTGCTGCTGCTGCTGCTGCTGCTGCTGCTGCTGCTTCCGCTGAGTTGCAACTTTGGAGCAGAGGATCTAACAACCCTTTTTATCTCGGTCGCCACACCTGACCCTTGCTTCCGCGAACCTTCTTTTGACGCAACAGGGACGATCCGGAAGTCGAGTTCTGCCCCCACTGCTACAACGCTCGCGGGCCCAAGTACGTGAAGCAGAGAGCCTACGACAACGTGGACAGCGCCACCCTGGACGCGTACGGCGGCGGGGAGGAGTTCCCCCTCTACTTCGGCGAGTTCGCGGACAACGGGAACTACCTCGAGACGAACGAGATAGCGAAGAGGCACGGCGTGTGTGGCGACCCGGAACAGGTGCGTACGTCGGTGTCGACTGTTTTGTGATGGGGGAGACAAGAGACACTGCAGCTGCTGCTGCTGTGCATCAGGCTGAACCTGCTGTTTGGTGTCTCCTGCTGTGACAGCGAGGCACCTTGCTTGAGGAGAGAGGGAGAGAGAGAGACCGTTGGTTGATGCATGTGGTAGGCTTGATTTTTCTGCGATTTTTTAGGTGCAAAATTTCGTGTGGACTACAGTACAACAAATTGTACGTGTGGTCTCTTTTTGGAAGAGGCGCCCTCGTGGCGAACGAACCAAAGGCGCCAACAGTTAGTTCGACAAGTCGTGGTGATGGTGCGAGGAACACAGAGTGAATGTTGCTGCTGCGTTCCCATGAGGCTGGGAAATCCCCAACCTGATGAACACGTACAGTACTCGTGTAACGTTGACCGTTACTTGTTCGGACCACGCAATCCAATCGGCGTATGTATATTATTTTCGGATTGCAGATGACACACCATCCGCGTCGTTGGTTCTGCGTGGGTCCGCCTTCCAGAACGGCGGTCCAAAACGTCACTATTGCTGTAGGAGGCATGTGAAGTCATGTTTCGACTGCTATTGCTTCACAGCGAGGCACGAGAATATTCGACAAGTGCAAACATGATATGTCTGACATTTACACTTACTCTTCCTCTGCGTCTGCCTCGTCTGGTATCTTTTGTTTTTTTCTCGCAGAACGCCGATGAAGGCACCAACGTCTACAGCACCGCGAACATCAACTGGGATCCACTCGATTCCTTCACGAGCGGACAAGTGCTCGAGATGGACATCGTCATGAACGCCTACCACTGGGTGAGTAAAGAGTGCCCACTCCACGCTTGACAGCAGCAGCAGCAGGAAGATCGTTGAAATATTATGGTCTGCATTTTGCGTGTTGGAGGTCTGCAATTATGCTGCAGTGCCACTGCCAGCCACACGTTGGACGTTCCAAGGATCCGTATCCAAACATTGGAACTCTGTAACCCCCGGCGGGCACTACACAGCTCCTGCTGCACACAACATTAACACCCTTTTCCCTCCCCCAATCCGCGAAGCAAAGATATTGTACGAGTTTTGCCCACCCAACCAAACAAATCCACCCACTCACCCACCCACCTCCCAAAACCCCTCCCCTTGGTTTATTTTTTGTCTTGTTCGCGTGCAGGGGCACTGCGAGTTCTTCGTTTGCAACACGGACGACATGGATGACCCGGACGGCGTGCCCACCCAGGAGTGCTTCAACATGCACCCCCTCACGCGCGCCGACGACGACGGGGACGCCAGCCCGATCGACCCCAATTACCCGGGACGTTACTACGTGGACCCGGAGTGCCGCGAGGAGGAGACCGAGCAGAGCAGCAACAGCATCGAGGGCTACAACATCAAGATGCGCTACGTGCTCCCGGACATCGAGTGCGAGCACTGCATCCTTCAGATGGTGTACTGTGAGTCAAGAGTGTTTCTTCTTGAAAAATATGGGCGCCGTCCTGCTTCGCGTTCCGACCAGCAGTGATGAATATCGTAGGTGAATATCGTAGGTGACGTAAGATACCACACCCCCTCGACTGATTTTCAAAGCTCGATTTCTCCGCAGCGACAAAGAGCGTCAGTGCCAAAAATAGCGGCGTCGTCGGGAACTATTTGTCGAAAATCTTTCCGAAGAACGATATCGTTCTTGAGCAAAATGAATTAACTCTTGCCATCGAAGAGCACACATGCATATACACTCACGCATGAAATGTATCCGCGTCTACCTGCAGCTGACGCTCCCCCCCCCCCCCCCCCCGGTGCCCCGGTTCTCTTGCGTCCATGAACAATAGACACCGGCAACACGTGCAAGCACATCGGGTACGAGGAGTTCAACCCGACCTCGTGGCCTAGCTCCTGCGCCCCGAACAAGTGGGACTGGATTGAGCTCGACCGCTACGTGTGCGGAACGCGGGGACAGTACCCGGAAGAGTTCTGGGCCTGCTCCGACTTCAGCATGACCTCCGGTGAGAACATAAGAGGAAGAACGGTGTTCTCACTTCGTTGAGCGGGGTGTAGCTGGCTGCTCAGAAGACATGCGGTGAGAACGGAAGAGAAGAACGGTGTACTTACTTCGTTGGGCGGGGTGTATGCAGCTGCTCAAAAGACATGCGGTGAGAACAGAAGAGAAGAATGGTGTTCTCGTCATGAATACCTGGGACTTGATGCTCGTCCGCCGTCTCTAAGGGGAAGCGCCACCTACCGCCGTGACTATTTCTAGCATCATTCGCGCTACTCACCCTTGGAAGAAAAAATGGCCCGTGTCACCGTGGCGGCCTACACGCCCTTCCTGTTGCCGTTCCTTCCCGCTAAATGCTACCGCTGCCTCTCATCTAATCACCCACCCACCCTCCGTCCTCGCTGCCTCCCAGATGGCTCAACACCGGCGGACGCCCCGATGCCCGACCCCGTGGACGAAGAGGACGACGAGGATAGCACTGACGGTGGCATGGAGATGTACGAGTACGTCGGCTGCTACACGGACAGGCAGGACGACCGGATTTTGGGAGACAAGCTGGACTCGGACCTGATGACCGCGGATGTGAGAACTTTTTTGTCTACGAAGAAACGGCGCGCGCATGAGATCTTTCTGTAGATGTTTCTATTTTTTTATGTTTTCTCTTGCGACAGAGTAGATATCTTCTACAGAATCAGCTGTGGGATGGGAGAAAATATCGTGTTTCATTTTGTGGTAAGTGTAGGCGTGAGAAGAACACGACATGCCAGACAAAAACATTTCGAAGACGTCGCTGTTGCATGTTTTGTCAGTGTGCACTCCGCACTGCCACACACGCGACCGCTCATGGAATTTTGTCGTGTTGACTTGCAGTGCTTTCGCTCGCTCGATGCCTTTGCCCTTCCTCGCTGTTCCCTCAAACTCTCAGTTCTGCTACGAATACTGCTCCGAGATCGGCGCCGCGTACATGGCCACCCAGTACGCCTTCGAGTGCTTCTGCTCGGCCGACGAGGACTTGGACTACGAACGCCACGGAACGGCGATGTGCGACAAGGCCTGCCGGGGAGACGAGGTGACAAACAACGACAAAATATACCGTAGAGAAAATTGTCCCATGTGAAACTGACATGCCCCAATCACACACACCCGTGTTTTGCCGCTGAAGGACCGATTGATCAAAATCCCAAATCACACAAGAAAAACTCGTCCCTCACTTGTCGTTCCATTGTTGCGCGCATGCATACACCGACCGGTCTTTGTTGTGAACTCTCCCTTTCTCACACCCGCCGCTGCCCTCGTCTCCCGTGTACCTCTACCACAACACAGGGAGAGACCTGTGGCGGTGAAAACGCGTTCGACCTCTACAGGATCATGCCGTCCATGGACTTGCCCACGCCGGCAACGCCTTTTTCCGAGCCCGAGCCCGAGCCGACCACGCCCGTGTCCGACGGGTGCGCCGAAGCATGGGGGCAATGCGGCGGTGGCAACTGGGAGGGTTCGACCTGCTGCATGGAGGGCTACGAGTGCGTCGCCAACAATGACTGGTACTCACAGGTACGCGGCGCGCTGAGCGGACCGGACCCTGGTCATCCATCAATTCAGAAAATGTTCTTTGGGTGTGGCTTTTGTGAAAAAGGGCTAGGGTGTCAATCGAAGAGGCTGCTATAGTGGACGGGCCCTCTCGTCATGAATCAGAAATTTTGTGTGTGCGCCGGTGGTTGCTGATGTACAGTAGGGTGTCTTGCCATTCGAAGCGACTGCTGCTGTTGAGTGACGTCGTGTTGTTGTTTGAGGTGTGCGTTCACGTTATTGGCCAACGTGCGCAGGAAGATGATGTTGCCTACTGTGCTCGCTCTTGCGGGTCATTGGCCAAGCGGTTGGGTCTTTTGCCTGGGATCGCCTGTCATGCGAATGCCTGCCTCCTCCCACAAGGCCTCACTGACAGAAGTCACCCTCTTTCCCTCCCGTGTACCTTTCTTTTTGCCTCCCGACCGTACCACCGCTTCGCAGTGCCGCCCTACGGCCTAAGCCGTCGTCCTCCCTGCGTGATCCGGGGGGTGCCCCATCCGCTTTCAAGAGAGAGGCGAAATAGCTAAGCAAGCAAAGAGGTCTTTGTCGCGAAATATTGCGCGACAGGCCAAATCTAGAGGCGTCGTTTCGTAAAGTTGTTTCGGCTGAGTCTCCCCGTCGTACCTGCAGCGCATGGGGATTGTGTACTCACGTAAACGCACGTCGTATGCCGAGAGTGGGGCGGTATGCAGGGAGGCGGTGTGAGAAGACATGTGCGTGTGCACGTACATGAGAGGTTGGCGTGTCCGTTTGCTTGGTCTTATTTGTTCTTGTTGTGCCTGCTTCGAAGCTTAGATGCCGCGTTTTTACCTGCGGCTTCGTTTAACCACATATAGCTTTTGTAAAATGTAAAATGGTCGAGTTAGTAGGGTCCACTGAAGGTTAGGGTTCTCACCCTCATATGTCGTTAGTTGTGCACAGTTCGAAGCTAGAATCCCAGGTTTAACCTCCGGCTTCGTTTAACTAATACATGCTTGTGAAATGGTCGAGTTGGTTGGTAGGGTTTACGAAAGGTTGAGGTTCTCGTATATATATGTCGTTTAGTATTACGGTTTGGTATCTAGCTTGCGGGACGGTAATAGGGTGGTGGGAATTTGCGTGCGGTTTGGTATCTAGTTTGCGGGACGGTAATAGGGTGGTGGGATTTTACTTTGACGCTGGCGCTTTATCGATCTACATCGTTTATGCCATGCGAGTTTGGTGTGTGCTCAGTTCCGCCGACTTTTTTTTTATTCTCGATTTCGTCGTTATCCGTGACAGCGTGGGGGCGTTGGTTGTTGGATCGCTTCTTCGTGTTGATGAGATGAAACGTTTCGTGTACAGAGGTCGTGTACCCTGCATGTCGTGCGGTATTCCTAGCAATATAGTTGCGACAGAACTCCACCGCCATTTTCGGCTTTGCAAAATGTCTCGTTGGCCGGGACAAAAAGCCGGGCGCGATTGAAGATGGAGGCGGGGGATGACTCTCATGTTTTTCCTTGCAATAGATGTGCTCTGCTGCTGTAAGTGTTGTTGTTCGTGATAGCTTTTGTCAAGTGTGTAAAAAATGTTTTTTTTTTATTTTTTTACACTTACTTGTTGTACGCTCGCTCACTTCATATGGTCTTGGTAGGGTTGGTTATGTTCATGACGTGTGTTTGTCCGCGAAGGTAGGGTAGCTTTGTATTTCCCTTGTACGATCAAAAATCACATTATGATTGTTGAAAAGCTTCCCTTTTTGTGTAGATTTGTCTCGTGACGATGTTGTGTGTGCGTGGTGGAAGCAAGGTAGCTTTTAACTCTCGAATGAGATTCGATGTGTGCACGCTGTGAATCATTTGAACTTTCATGTAGGAGGCGGGATTGCCGTTGTCGGCGTCGGCGTACACGCGCTGTACTCGCCGGGACAGGTTACAAAATGGGGTAATTGATATCGTTCCGGTTGCCGAAGCTCGGGCGTCTTAGGAAGTGAGACCTGCCCGAGATTGATGTGGTACGTTGGGTAACTATGGAATGGAGACCAAGGAACGGGCAGAGGGGGGGGAGGAAAGGGAATCCATAGGGTAAAACCAGTCCCCTGGTAGCGTCGGGGCAGGCATGGCTTGCTATAGTGTGTCGGGTTGGTGTGGTGACTGTTCTACACTGATGGTGCTGTGGAATGGTCCTGAGGGTATAATGATCCTCTCTTCTCTCTCCCCCCCCCTTTTGGTCAAGCGTGGGGGGGGTGAACGATCGATAATAAATGGAAGATGCGAAAGCAACGAACACAGCAGAAGACTGCAGAGACGCATGAACGCGTTGAAATCTGAGTTTTGTGCGGCGACAAAGAGCAACAGTCTTGGACCTCTTTGTGGCCAATCAGACAGCAGAGGCGAGGCCCCGCTGAGATGCGACAGGAGACATCATGTTAGCACTTGCTGGTCTGTCTCCAACAAGCAAGAGTGTCGGGGCTTGCTGGTGACTCTACATTTCTTTCCCACCCACCAGCGCAGTTTAATATATAATGTTGAAACTGGCGGTTGATTTAATTACACACGGGCGCGCCAGGCAGGTGAAACACTTCCTGGTGCGTATGCATACGATCGAGAGAACGATTGAAAAATGTTTTTAATGTAGGATGCCGAGTTTCGTCCACGCGGCCGGACGCGACCGCCCCCCCCGCTTTTTTCCTTTTGAGGAGAAGCGGCGGAAGACATTTTTTTTTTTGGCTTTCCGTCCGTCACGCGTAGGAGCGCCTCGCCTGAACGGTTGCTCCCTCCTGCGTGGTGCACATCCCAAATATCAATATTATATCCTTGTCTGCACAAGAAGTTTCAAAGAAGTTTCATGAGAAAGCTATGCACACTGTGCTCGTTTTCTTTGGGAAAGAGAGACTTCAATTCACAAGAAGTTTCAAAGAAGTTTCATGAGAAAGCTATGCACACTGTGCTCGTTTTCTTTGGGCAAGAGAGACTTCAATTCACGTCCAATCACGTAACTCTCTACAAACAAACGGTTCCAGGAATGGTCCCACCGTTTCGCGATTTTAAGAACCCAGTGTGCCTTCAATTTTTTTATTTAAGAACGAACACCTCCGTAGTTATGAAGTATGGATCCGACGGGGGATCAGGGGTTTCAAGCCAGGTGTTTCAACACATACTCGACATTGTCGACATGAAAATGACGAAGAGTAACAAACCACTAGTTGATGAGAGGATGGCGGTAGCACCATATCATATTTTCTGCCAAAAGTCCGTTTGGTAACATTTTTTTCGGTTCTGTTTTGTATACAGCAGTAGTCCCTTGAAAACGGACAACATTCCCTACTTCAGTGGGCGACAGGACACAATACACTCGGATACGCTCGAACTTCTCCAAAACACGAGAGAGAAAACAAGCCGTGGCACACTGTCTGCAGCTAGTCCCGCAGGTCTGTGCATCACAATTCAGCAACACACTCAAGATCACACCAACAACAACGACGGCGGCAGCACTCAAGAAAAAGATCCGGCGCCTTAGCACAACCACGTGGCGCCGGGAGCACCCCCCCCCCCCCCC